TGCTGTGTAGATATATATACTACGTATATATATACTATAAGAAGGGAGAAGGAATACCATTAGATATAACTTATATATATACTACGTATTACATACATATATAGAATAATACTTACTATGGGTGTAGTTCTCTTTTCAAGAGAAGAACTTGCAGGAGAGAGCAAACCCACCCACACCTTTATATAGGTATAATATACTCCGTATACACACACTAGTATAGTGTCAAACGAGCTCTGCCAAACAAAGCTAGAGGTTGTCGCCCGACGTCGCCCGACGTCGTCGGGGTGCTACCATCGGTGTCAATCTAGTTACCGTCCTTAATACCACCACCGAGAGGGAACCTCGTAAGAGTATAGTAGTTTTCAGAATCCCAAAACAAGATGGCGGCATCGACGCCTATGAATTTCCAGAGTTGGACTGCCGGTCAGCATTAACTCTCCGCCAACACCTCTCACCGTTACCCTGCACAATACCCGTCAGAAAAGGATTTCTGTCGGAGGTCAAGAAGAGACGCAGCGCAGCGGTAGTTCCGTAGTTGGGTCTTATAATCTGGCCAGTCGTAAAACGTAATACGGAGGAGCCAAAGTATTATTTTTGCTGGGTTGATATATTAGTTGGACTATTGAAGGAGATAAGAAATTAAATATCCAAAGCTGGAGCTGTCGGCTACTAATTTCATCAACTGGCCGGACTCAAGTTCGTAGAAGTATTATTCTAGCTAAACCGCCTTTTGCCGAATTAAAAAGAGAAGTGAGTGATCGGTTCTATATCTATACATTTTATAACTTTTGGGTTATATGTGAGACTACCTAAATGTTAAACAATTTTGTGATAATTTAAGATGATATATAAAAGTGCCGTGATGTCTAAAAATTATTAGCATGCTCTAAACCATATTCTACTTGCTAGTAATATTAATTATGTTTAAATTTGTATGTTTAAACTAAATTAGTATTTGCCTTATTTTAGGAAGAACTTTAAAACTAGGATAGAACTAGTTACACGTATATGAAAATAGGCTTAATTGTGAATTTATTGGTACATGACGGGTCATGGTACAGACACCATACCCGTAGTGTTGCTGAGAAGATAACCCTATTCCGAACACATTATTTGTTAAGTACACTTTTGGTGTATCCATAATCGTCGCGAATACATAATATTGTTTAGGATGTACTTTATCGTAACGGGCCGTGAACGAACTATCTGTATCTCGGAAGGAAGAAGTTCGGATGGACGGGCCGTAGGAAACAGGTTGTGAACGAGTCCAGCTGTATCTCGGAAGTAAGCGTACTCGGAGCGACGACCTGTACGAAAATGGGGTGAGAGACACCCAATGGTATAATTAAACGCGGGCCCGAGGCCATTCATGAATAAAATTGATGCGGGCCAATGGCCATTTATAAAGAAATATTATATGGGCCCGAGTGCCATTAAAATAAATTTCCTTATAAGAAAAATCTCAGCCTGGAGCTGATTACTTTAATTATTATATATATGTAACATTTAGTAAAGATTTTACATATTATATATATATCACCCTATTTGAGGGTCTTAGGTATGAAACGATCGTTATACCTTGCATAGGTATAGCGCCCGTCCCTCACCAGTACCAATTGGACTGACCCTTCGGGGCGACATTTTTTTTTCAGGTTGAAGTTTGTTCACGAGACCAGTTTTACCGATTTGGGAGATTCCCTAGAGCAGACTTGGTTCGTGCTGTTCTCGTGTTCTATTTACTATATTTAAATTTAAAAAATGCTCATGGATTATTTAAATTTCTATTTAGGGTCTGTGTACCCCTGTATGCCTCCTGTGGCAAGTGAACATTTTAAATTATGTTTCCGCTGCAATCTAGTATTTTATACTAGTGAATTGACTACTTAATAATTTACCTTCTATGAATATTCTTAGTGTGATTGATATACACAATAGCCTTGCATTACCTAACGAGAATAGTCTGCGGATATTCACGAAGGGTTGTGCGGCGGTTGCCACATCATCAGGCCGGTCCAGGGCGTGACATAGGAACCCTGCCAGGTAGTAATGACTGTTTGGGGTGAGCTGGCAGGGAGCTAACTTCACGTACCTTAAGTACTCCAGGATGAAGGGATGAAGTGGAAACCTAAGGCCCAACTCCACCGAGAGCATGTGTACTGAGAAACATCCCTCCGGGGGATGGGATAGCAGATCCTCGGGGCCCGGTTCCACGACCTGTGTCGAAGGCCCCACAAGGACCTGGAGAGCATGATACTCGGCACCCGAGGCCGTAGTCTTCACCTCAAGGGCGGTGGTGTCCAAATACGAGTGCCCCTCGGGGATCCCAACCGGCTGCCCGGGGTCGACAACCGCCTTTTTCTTCTTTGGGATAGCTCTCAGCTTCTTCTTCCTTTTCCCCGGGGCCACACTCAACGGATCAGGGTTCAGCGGACGGGAGGTGCTCGCTTCACCGGCACCATGAGGGGGGAGTACAGCAACTGTAACTTCTTGCCTCTCCTTCTCTTCCTCAGCGACCTGGAGAGCGAGGGCCATTTCCTCGTCCTCGACCACCTGCTCGAACTCCTCCGCCTCCAGCTCAGTGCGAAGGTTATTTTGAACCTCTTCGGCAACAGCTGAATCATTGTTCGCCGAGGACTGCTCACTCGACGACTCCACGTCCGAGTAGCTCTCTTGCTGCACCGACGGCTCCCCCGAGATGTCTTGGGAGTCACTTTGCGAGGTCATTTTTTCTGAGAGCGAAGTGTTTTAAGGAAGAAGGCAACCTAAGTATATTAGCCGAAGGCCCCTAAGATCGCTAACACTAGATCGAAGGGAAAGGATAGCAAAGTATGCTAAGTGTACGAAGAACAGGTGAAGAACTGACCTTGGAGATTGGGGTTTGATCGAAGAAAAGGCTTTCTCTCTCTAGAAATTTTGGCAGAGCTTCGCTTCAATTCTAAACGCACAAAGGAAGTGAATTCGAACTGGGGGTATTTATAGGCTCCCAGCCTCGAAATATGGGCCTCGATTTGAAAAACCCATCATTACGGGCCGCCTCCTCACCCAATGGACGGCACCCGCCCCCCTTCAGCCAACAAGAACATGCCACGTGGACCCCCCTCCAACGACTCTTTTCCAACGGCTCTATTTTGGAAACCATTGAGGCAACCTCAGATGATAGCCTCCGACCATCACTTACTAGAGCCTTCGGTGAGCAACTTTTACCAAGTGCTCTCGAGCAAGCAGCAGTACAAGCCTTCGGCTTATCAATGTTGCCACTCCTCAGTCACTGACACCCCCCGGGGTCGCATGCAAACATCATAACTCCTTCATCCCGAACTTTCCTTCGGCCTAAATGAGTGGGGGACTGGGATACACCCCTCGGGAATCACACAGAACTAAAAATTCCCAAATGCAGAAATCTACAAAGGACACATGCAGCCTTCGGGCAAACACACAAGGAGAACTCCTCGGGTACATGCTTCACTATACCCCTCGGCAGAAGCAAAACATCAGAAATTTCCCACAAGTCACTGACAATGATGGAGCAGCCTTCATCACAACACATATAGACAACTCATCAACGCTTCCCTCAGAAAACCCCCGACATGTGGGGGACTGAGGGAAAGCCCCCGGCAAATACCAGTAAAGCTCTCCGGCAAAGCGCAAGCCTTCGGCAGGGCCAACGCATTAACGCAATTACTCCTTTTCCCTCAAGTACCTTTCGGCCAAAGGAGTGGGGGACTCCTGATGGAGTATATGACCCAGGGACCCCCGGCCCATAGACTCCTACTTCTCCTACACAGGCCCATTAAGCCCAAGGAGCGTTCGAGGCCCAAATACAGCGGGCCAAGTCTCAAAGAAGCCCAAAATACACACTGGGGTGCCTTCGGCCTCCTTGGCCGAGGGCTCCGAATTACTCAGGGCAACCAGATTCGAGCGTGCAAAGTTACTGGGAGAAAATGGCAGAAAACAGGAGCCTTCGGCACTTTGATGCCTTCGGCATCAGGGAAGCCTTCGGCTGTACGACACCTTCGGCTGCACAGGCCCTCGGTCGCAGGGAGGAGCCCTCGGCCATCGACTCAATCATCGAAGATTCCCTTTGGAGACAAGCAACCACCGCGTTTAATGCAGCGTCACATCCACTCACCGCATTCAATGCGGTGCACATGCGAGTGCTAGTGCCACCCCATTGATGTGACCCCTCGGCCGTTAGATTATCGCCACGTGTACTCTCATCGCATTTATTGCTGCTATAAATAGCACCTCCTTTTCTCATTGTAAAGGACCAGAACATCTCGAGTTCATTAATTAATACAATCGCCTCTCTCTCATACTTGTTTGCTCTGACTTCTCTCTAGGTTATTCTCATAATAACCCCTGGGATAAGCTACCCCGGGTACACTATCCATCAGTATAAATTAAAACTTGTAACATCTTTTCAATCACTAGAAAAAGATTGACTTCTTATAAACATAAATGTATAGTTGATCAGGATTTATTATATGAAATTTGTAAAAGTTAAGACGATATATATGGTAAAGATGAAAAGTCAAGAAAAATACAAAGTATATATATATATATATATATATATATATATATATATATATATTTTTTTTTTTTTTTTTTTTTTAAACCACCAATTGGTGGGGCAAATGCCGAGGGTCATCTGCCATAATTTTATTAATAAGCAGTCTGAGTACAAATACAGAATGACCCAAACAGAGACAATCCTCTGAAGATAAATGAAAGAATAAAAATAAAGAACTCAAGAAACAATATAAGGTGTGTCCAGCTCATCCAATTTGATAGCCCCTCGGAGGCCGCTAGGAATAATATCCCCAATCCGCCAGGAAAAAGAATGGTTTAGGCCCAATTTAGCCACCTCTCTAGCTGCTTTATTAACCTGGGCTGTAATAAAATGAAAAGTTAGGCCCTTTAACTTGTAGTCCAGATTCGAGTTGCCCATATCCAGTAAAGTAACTTCCAAGAAGAAACATCAACTTCAATTTTAGGCAATTGAAAAGTTTCAGACCAACTCACTGCCTGCCCAAGCATTTCGTCTTCTCTCTCTGTCGATCCATGCAAGGGGAAGCCGTCCGCCGCTATCATTGCCCCGGAGTGGTCGCGAAGCAGGAATCCAGCTGCCGTCTTCCCAAACTGTCTGAAAACTGCCCAATTTAATTTCACCTTCAAGCTCATCGGTTTAATCCATCTGAGAAGTTGTGGCTTTCTTAGCTTGAAAGATGCAGGTAATAATCCCACCCCTTTAAGCTTATCATTTCCTCTAATATCCTTGTTTGCCCAACACCAATTTAACATATAATTGTTTATCTGTTTAATCACCTTATCCTTCTCCGGAATTAAATCATTCCAAACAGCATCCCAATACGACTTCCACAGATGCCAGGCGATAACCCCAGGTAATATGACTGTATATACCTCGTCCATTGATTTGCCTGATACACTGATCCACCACCGCATTAGCTGCAATTTGATACTATTAACTGTTCCTCTTCCTGTTAGCAGTAAACCGGAGTAAAAACCCCAGATAGAGTCTGCCAGCGGACAGAGAAGCAAAATGTGGTCCTGAGTTACATTTTCATTTCTGCAGAAAGGGCACATTGAAGGATAAATTGCTGAAAAGGATGCTAATTGCTCAGGAAATGGTAGCCCTTTATGCCATAGTCTCCACAGGAATACCTTTATTTTTGAGGTCTGTTTAGAAGGCCAAATATGATTAATAGACAAAGCCCTACCCCTGTGAGGCCATAGAGCCTGATAAGCTGATTTAGATGTAAATTTACCATCAGCAGTGTGTTTCCAGTTTATACTTAAAGGACCCCTGACCACCATATTTTCGGCTTCATCATGAATGAGGCTGATTCTTCTCCACGTTGGGGAGTCCGTGGGCTTTACAACTCCCATACTCCGTCTGCCATATTTACTTCTCATTAGGTCAGCCCAAATTGAATCTCCTACTTGAAATTCCCACCAGAGTTTCAAGGATGAAATCTTTTGAGAATCATTTAAAGATCTTATACCCACCCCTCCCCAATCTTTGGGTTTGCATAAATCTTTAAACTTTATCCAGTGATGTTTGGGTCTTGTTTTAAAAGTACCCCAAAAAAAGCCTGCCACTTTCCTTTTGATCATTCCCAAGACAGACTTAGGGAGATTAGTGACTGCAAGGATATGTAGAGGTAAAGAATTAAGCACATGCTTAATCAAGACCAACCTGCCACCTTGGGAGAGAAACTTTTTACTCCAAAAAGATAATTTTATATCAAAAGAGTCCAATAACTCTTTGCAATGGGACAATCTAGTAATTCCTTTATGTAATTGGACTCCCAAATATTTAAACGGAAGCTTGGAAACCTTCATACCCAGAGTATTTTCTAAATGAAGGATTCGGGCTGTAGAAGTGTGTTTTCCAGCTACAAAACAGCTCTTATCTTTGTTTACTAATTGTCCAGAAGCGTGTTGATAAAGTTGAAGGAACTCAGTAAAGTTCTTGGCAGACCTGGATGAACCATTTAGAAAGATCATGAGATCGTCCGCAAAAGCCAAATGGGATATCCGCATACCCCTTCCCACATTAAAAGCTTCTATTCTCCCGGCATTCACCAGATTATTTATACCTCTAGAAAAGGCTTCCGACATGATTATGAAAAGCAAGGGAGACAAAGGGTCCCCCTGCTTAACTCCCCTAGATGGCTTGAAAAAACCATAGGGAACACCATTGATAAGGATAGAAATAAAAGTAGCTCTAAGGTTTCCCATAATTAGATCCTGAACATGCTGAGAGAACCCAAATTTATCCAAAAAAAAAAAAAAAAAAAAATATATATATATATATATATATATATTGAGTATTGATTGTATATATAACTTGTTTGAGTTATAACTATAACAGAAATCTTATTTTTATTGACTCTTTATGTTCGTTAGGTCAATATAATAAATCCCCCACTCGTTCATATATATCTACCCAGCAAAGGTTTTTTCATACAATTCGGCACCATATATATCTACCCAGCATTTTTTTTTAAATTAAAGCTTTACTTAGATTATGAAAAATTATTTTGTTGTCAATTTTTTGTGAATAATTATGATTTAAAAGTCAAACATTTTGATTTAAAAATAAAATAAATTTGGAGTTTTTTTTTGTTATTTCGGACCTACTTAAAAAATAACTGAAAGATTTAAATAAAATGTTTTAATTATGAGATCTTAATTTTAGCACTTAGACATATTTAAGAAAAATTTTGTGTCTAAAAATCTCTATCAGTGGCAATTCCACAAATTTTTAACTTTTTATATGCAATATTGATGTCAAATGAAAGATCATAAAAATTATGAAATTTGATACTTTACAGAAAATTGATATTTTAATTTTGATTGGACCCCGTTCTTTAAAAAAAATTGACTGGACCCCGCAGTACTATTTCTCCTCTGCAAAAAAGGGTTTAATGCACCGAACCCCCCTATGATATGAAAATTCGGCACATTAACCACCGTGATTTAAAAAATGCGTCAAACCCCCTTGTGTTTTAATTAATTATGCGGAAATTCCTTTTATGAACAAATTTAATTGTCAAATAAAAGAAAAATGATCAACATTTTGTATGATTTAGAAATTTTGACATATTTACTGGCATATTCAATTAAAATATTAGAAAAAATGATTTTCAAATCGTTAAATTTATTCATAAAAAGGTTCTGTGCATGATTAATTAAAACATAAGGGCGTTTGATGCATTTTTCAAATCAAATAGGTTAATGCACTATCAAATACTACCTCCGTTTCAAAATAAACCTCACAGTCAACCTTTTGTGGTCTCCTAGACAGACGTTTGACCGTAATTTCCTATTAATATATGCATATAAAATCTATAATAAATTGACATTTGAAAAATACATATTACAATGAAGCACATTATATAATTTTTTTGGGATAAAATATTATTAATTTTGAGTAATAAGCGGTCAAAGTTTAACAAGTTTGACCCAAAAAGTTTGACTGTGGGTTTATTTTGAAATGGAGGTAGGAGTACACATCATTAATGCAATGAATTTCTAAATTGGGTTTGGTGCCCTGCAAAAAGTAAAAAAACACGTTTGAAGTACTTTGAACAAAACCCTTTCAAAAAAAAAAAAGTACTTTGAACAAAATAGAACCCATTTGAACACTTCACTTTAAACACATAAGTCAATCTCCTATGGAGTACTCGTATTTTTTTGGTTTCGTCGATATTTGCGCTAGTTAAAGTTGTCAGAGGGGCGTCAGAAAATTGGATAGAGACATAGAGTGACCGCAAATAGTCAAAAAACTGTTTTGAAGAATTAAGAGTATGTAGGATTAATATAAAATCTCTAGCACTAAAATGGAATTAATTCAAAAAACCTTTGAATCTCCTCCAATGTTCGATTTATTTGAGTCCGTATTTTTAGTTGAAAAAAACTAGTTGTACACATGTTTTTGTTTGTGAAGTGTTAACTGGCTATTCATGGACGAAAAAATAGCTCTTCACCTGCGTGTGTAAGATGATGTATACAAAAAGTGTACAAAACAAATTCGGCAAAATTCATAAGAATAAATCATACTATCAAGTACTCCTTATTTTACAATTATAATCTTTATTGAGAGTATTCATAAAAAATAGTCCGGACTATCAAATATGACAACAAGAATAAATTCAAGTGAATTCAAACGCTTTTGAGTATTTCAATTGAGTAAAAAAACGTATTTCAATTTTTTTACTGTACTTTCTCTTTTTCTCGTTTAAATGAGTATTTTTTTTTGTTAAATGTCAACGCCTTTGACTGGGATGAGTTTTGCACTTGTGATCTTCTTCTTGTGAGTGTCACAGTGCCATCTAACCACAAGTCTATTACTCCGTATGATAGAGCTTTTTTCGAATATTTCTTTAAATCTATTATAGTATCTGATGTTAATGTCGATATAAGGAATAATGTCATTGGAGGCTCAAACACGTAAGTTGGGACTTCCACCTTTGAAATATGAGGAGTAATGCCATCGGAATTTGAGATATGAGGAGTAAGGTACTTAAAAGTAATCGCACTTGAAAGGAGATTTTAAAAGTAAAGGTTATAAAATTTCCCCAACCTATCAGTCAGTCTACAAAGGAGTTGTACCGCACAGTAATTGCAAGAAACCAGAATGGAGGAGGGGTTGCCGTTGTTGAAGGTGGGAGAAGAGGGTGGTCGGACAGGGTTGGGGTCTGTTTGGGCAGAGGTGAAGAGGCTAGGGTACTTGGCAGGTCCAATGGCGGCTGTGACTTTTTCTCAGTATCTATTCACCATCATACCTGTTATGATCGTTGGGCATTTGGGTGAGCTTTTTCTCTCCAGCACCTCCATAGCTATATCTATTGCTGGTGTTACTGGCTTCAGTTTTCTTGTGAGTACACATTCTTTACCCTATATTTCAGAAAATCGTTTGATTGTTTTCCGTTTGAATTGTTAGCTACAATTTTATATGAGTGAACTAGACTTAACGAAGAAAAAACTCAAAAACTTCGTCAAAAAATTCTGTCTGTATCCATGAAGCCACGAAGCATAACGATGCCAAAATGTATAAGACAGTGCCGGCGAAGATGTTACAGATATCTATTTTTCTTCTCCTTCTCATCCTCTCTTCTTCACGGCTCCTTTTTCCTTCTGTCGATGCTCTGTTTTCTCTCTTCTTTTCTTCCGTGACTACTTTATTTTTCTCTTCTATTCTTCCTTGGCTCTCATTGATTTTCAATGTCCGTATAAATGTGAGATTCCACTCTATTTTGTTCATTAATGTTTCTTTTCCAAAAAAAATGTTTCTTTTTTCTTCTAAATTCCTTTTTAAAATTGTAACTAATGTGTTGCTTAGTTTAATTCTTATGTTAATTTTTGTAGTAATGGCTCTACATATGACTAAATATAATCTAAAATGTATAAATAAGATCACTACATTTTAGCCATCCCAAATAGGATTAAACAATTCATTCCTACATAAAAAAAATTTATAATTCATAATAAAATCTTAAAAAATAATAAATAATCACAATTCTTTTTTTAAAATCGTACAAAAATAATAAAAAATATAAAAGAATAGATTTTTTTTAAAATATTTTTTTTTTCAAATTATTATTTTATAAAAAAAAATAGTAAACATCCATAAAAAATGGGGTTTTAACAACAATATTACTAAGATAAAACTTATTTACATAAATATGGTTTTTCATTACTATAACGTAGTGTTGTGGTAACTTAAGTTCAAAACTTGAACATGAATTACTATGATTTCATTACTACTCTAGTAACTAGTTATATTTTTGTAAATCATCTTTATTTTGGTCATAATTATATAATTATTTCTAAAAAAATTCAAAAAATTTAGATACCTTTCCCACAGCCTCCCAGCGCCACCACCTTCGATTGGTAAAATGTTATTATTATTGTCAATTTACATTGACTGTATGCATTATTCTACATTTTATTATGATATTGACATTGCTAAAATTCTAATGATGAAAATGTTACGTTGATAAGTCATTTTAATATAATGACATTTTTATAACATTAATATTATTTTTAATATATCAACACAATTTACAATTGAATAGTGACATGATACAATTATATAATTTCATGCCGGAGGTAACCAGCGACGACTGGCAGTGAACGTACTTGACCAGCGACTGGCTAGAAAATTACTTCGTTGATAAATTCGATGCCCATGGTCCGGCTCGGGAAGATCGAATAGATGGATGTATGTCCGTTCGAAATACGGAACTTCCTGGAAGTGGGAATAAGCAAGGGCGTTTTTGTCACTCCATTCAAAATTAGTCCAATTTAGGGTGTAAAAGTTTTAAGTCCTATTTACATTCAGAACCTATCTTTTAGTCTTATTTAGGTCTATTTCCCATGTAGAAAATGTATTTCTTTTCACATGTTTCTTCCCTTGCTTTTAGCATGAGATTAAGAAAGTAAAATTGTGCAGTTGAAATTTAGTTAGGAAAAAGTGAAATCCTTTTAATATAGCATATATGCAATACAACAGTACCAATTTAGTTAGGAAAAAGTGAAATCCTTTTAAGATAGCATATAGGCAATACAGCAGTACCAAAAGTCTTGTAATTGGAAGTTCTTTTTTAATTTATAATTGATTCAGGTAATCAGGTATGTAACATTGTTCATTCATTATAAACCAGGGATGGAAAACTCAGTTGTTCACAGGACAAAGATTTTGGCTTTTTTTCTGTTAGTTGATAAAAAGACTGAAAAGTGTATTGATAGAACATTGTTTTGTACATTCTGTTAGAAACACATGCATAACAGGAACCTGTAATTTTGAATAGGAAGTGAATAAGCAAAGCAGTAATGCTACTGCCTACTGTGCTAGATATTTGAGGAATGTAAATAGAGTGTAGACAAAGGGCTCCAGACATGATTCCATATATTGTCATAAAATAATCTTAGAATCCCACACCAGAATAAGACCTTGGGTTGAACTAGCCAACATATTAAATTGATAATAATCTTACAATGATTTTAACCGTGTAAACCGATCCTGAATTTTACAAATTAATAACATTATAATATTGAAAATCATAGCTGAATAGATATTTTTACTCCTCCAATTCTGACATATTCTAATATTTTGAAATACAAAAGCTCTGTATTACTAACTATAATAATAATAATTCTGTGTAACTTATGATATATTCTGTATTTTTTTTTGAACAGTTAGGAATGGCATGTGCTCTAGAAACACTTAGTGGGCAGGCATATGGAGCCAAACAGTACCATAAACTTGGAAGACAAACGTACACTGCCATTTTCTGCCTTTTTATTGTATCCATCCCCCTTGCGATCTTGTGGACTCAAATGGGGAAAGTGCTAGTCTTCATAGGCCAAGATCCTCTTATTGCAGAAGAAGCCGCAAGGTTCTTAAAGTGGCTCATTCCAGCCTTGTTCGCTTATTCGACCTTACATCCTCTCATACGATTTTTTCAGGTGCAAAGTATGATCTTTCCCATGCTCATGAGCTCATTCATAACATTGTGCTTCCACGTGGCTCTATGTTGGTTGCTGGTTTTCAAGTCTGGTTTGAGTAATCTTGGGGCTGCTATCGCTATTAGTGTGTCACTGTGGGTGAATGTGGTGATCCTTTCTTTATACATGGGGTTCTCCCCTGCTTGTGACGAAACTCGTTCGACTGTTTCATGGGAAATCTTTCATGGAGTGAAGGAGTTTTTCGGATATGCCATTCCGTCAGCCATCATGATCTGGTAATTTGTTCACCTCCTCCTCACTCCGTGTAGTATATTACGTCATTTACGTGTAATGCATTGTCATCATGATGATCACTGCTTTAATCCCAACTACATTGGTGTCATCATGTTAATAACTATTTAATACTTTCAATTTTTGCAGAAGAAGCTCATTCTAATGAAACATAAAATGTTATTAATTGCTAAAATTAGTTAATAAATAAATTCTTGCTAAAAGAAGCCGGATATAATGAAATTATAATATTAGTATTTTATGTAATGTTAATTAATCATCATACCTCATGATTATTCAAGACTTTAAATTCTTGCAAAAAGCTCTTTTTAATGAAACATACAATGTTAATTAATCAGCAAAATCAGTTAACACTTTAGTTTCATGCAACAAGAAGCTGGGGCACAGTTATACGGCGGATACCCTTATTGCCCCATCATGCATCATGCATCATGCTATCTATGTGTGCTGAAAGGTACTATTGTAGTCATTCCACAACTGGGCAGTAGCATTACTACTTTGCTTATTGACTTCCTATTCAAAATTATAGGTTCTAGTGTTGAATTGTTGATAGTAATTTATTTTTGAGAATTTTCCATTCAACCCTTTCCATTGTAGTCATTCAAATTCCATGGCTATTAATTTGGCCTCTCGTTTCTAAAAGTTATTCTATCAAGTCCATGGCTTTTTATTTTGCTTTATTAGATGTGTACTTTCCATGCTTTTACATTGGATGGTATAATTTCTAAACTATTTTTTTAAGCCACTCTTTTATATTTTAGTTGAGTCAGCCATGCACCTTTTGAAATATCACACTCAGCCTGTATAATATAAAGCCTTTTCAAACTATTGATTTAATGTTGTGTTTATCATCGAATTCAGAACTTCAATTGTGTTTTCGTCAATTATTTGAGAAATAATAAATGGTTATCTTTGGCCAGGTCTTTTGTAACTTTGTGCTTTAATGCCATGATGGTATTAAAATAGTGAACTTTAGAGATTATTGTTAACTTCTGCTCATGGTTACTGAAATCTGTATGTCTCTCTCTCTCTCTGCTAGTCTTGAGTGGTGGTCATTGGAGCTACTTGTGCTGCTGTCTGGTCTACTGCCAAATCCACAACTAGAAACTTCAGTTTTATCTGTATGGTATGTTCAACTTCACAGAATATGAATGACAATTGTTAATATATTTACTGAAGGCTTTAATATCACAAACTCTGATGTTATTTGCCAGCCTGAACACTGTCAGCACAATTTTTGCAATTCCATATGGGCTTTCCGGTGCTGTAAGGTATTCCTAAGCTTCAATCAAATCCCCAAAGCTCTGTTTGGTAGCCGTGATCGGCTTATTATGCTTATCACGGAGCTTTCCCCTTATTTGGATAAATGGATATTACCACACATTGTGAAAATTCAGCAGTCAGTCATTTCAGTTAGATGGCCCTTACCAAACAGGCCCTAAGAACAAAACTAAAACTGTTTTCATCTACCAAAACATTCCTCTAAAATTACAACCGCTATTTTTGTTTGCAGCACTAGAGTATCTAATGAGTTAGGAGCGGGAAACCCACAGGGTGCTCGTTTGGCTTTCTTGTGTGTGATGCTCATTTCTGTGTCAGTGGGTGTTATCGTAAGCGCAACCCTCTTTGCTTGTCAGAACGTATTTGGCTATGTTTTTAGCAATGAGAAGGAAGTGGTGTACTATGTTGCAGATATTGCCCCTCTCCTCTGTCTCTCAGTCATACTTGATAGCCTTCAAGGGACCCTTTCAGGTACAAACTACACTCAAATGAATCTGTTTATCCCTGTTGTGAAAAAAACTGTTGGGTAATTTCTGAATTGTGATATATATTTGAGGGTTTTGTAGGGATTAGTCTATTCACTCTATTGTGATACAATATGCAAGGATGAAAATATCCCGATATTTACATCGAAATTTCATATTTTAGGGTCACCTATAACTATGACATTCATTTCGCATCATTAAGTTATTTAACCAAACTATGTCATTTATTTGGCATCGTCAAGTTATTTAACCATTTTAGATTGTCTTAGATTTTCCATAACAAACACTCATATATATTATATATATACATACATATAAAATTTGGAATTAATCACACACCATGCATTGCACGGGTATTGTACTAGTATATTGAATAATACCAAACATTTCAATAGCTATAGGAACCCAAAAACGTTAGTGATATCATTCTCTTTTTCACAAAAAAAAAAACAAAAAAAAACTTGCAAAACATTGTTTTTCCCTCCAAAAATTGTTCGATATCGATTTCGAAATATCGTATAATTCATTCATAAATTCAAAGTACCCATTAGATCCATAAATACGATATTATTGTTGCATATATATGCATATATACATTTAAGATATTATAAAATTGCAAGATCCCCCTCCTCTCCAACTATTATTATTGTTACTAATTATTATGATTATTAATAATAAATTGAAAGATTAAAATATTATTTATCCAAAGTTCCAAACCTTCCATCGAAAAAAATACTAGAGGTATTTTATAGTTGCGTGTTTCCAGTCACACCACTCAAAGAAAGAATTACCAAACAGAGTTTTGAGGGTAAGCAAAAACACAGTGGCTTAAAAGTCACTACTATGCCAAACACCCTAACTATTGATCTCCTCTAACCAGTCTGGGTTGTGTGCCCATAAGGGTTAATATTTTTGTATACCACTCGTCTAACATTACTTACTCATATCACCCCCTAGACGGGAATGAATACAAATTCATGTGATCAAATGGTGATATATATATAATAGGTGTTGCTAGAGGATGTGGGTTGCAGCATATAGGAGCTTTAGTCAACCTAGCTTCATTCTATCTATTTGGAATTCCAATTGCTGCATCACTGGCTTTCTGGTTTCACGTGAGAGGAAAGGGTCTTTGGGTTGGAATCATGTGTGGTAGCGCTATGCAAACGGTTATGCTATCAATAATAACAAGTTGCACAAATTGGAACAAACAGGTACGTAGTGGCAACCTTAATTAGCCTAAACCATGAAAATGAGGTTGTGGGATAATAAAGATTGGTGTACATTCTTGTGGTGCATCCTTTCCATAAATTCCTATGTGGCTTACATCATTTGGATGATGTGAAGTTCTCTAACTTTTCATTATCCAAAACATTCATGCCACATTAAAATGTATCTATATATATAATGTACCAAAACATGTCTATTTAGTTTTGCTCAATATATTCTGGTTTTTAGTGTTGTCGCGCGCTGACGTTTCATATAATATTTTGGTGGGTTGGTTTGCCTTTGCAGGCGGCTAAGGCAAGGGGAAGACTTCTTCAGTAAAAGTAGTATCTTGATGAGGCACCCAAGTGGATGAGAAGTTAATTATCTACGAAGTATTTAGTTTTGAGTTCCATTTTTTCTTGTCATTTTCGTTTTTATCTAATTGAAGACCACTTCTACTGTTCTACATGTACAATGCCCCCCATGAAGGAGCAAGCAATTCTCTTGTCTCAATTTGATCATTCCCCCTACTAATATATGATGTTTAACAATGAATCTTTTCAAGTGTTAAAAAGAGAAGTCTCTACATTTGGTTTGGATTTAAAAAAAAAATATACTCCCTCTGGTTTTTAATAAACTTCACACTTTCATTTTTGGGACGGTCTAAAATAAACTTCACACTTCCTTATTTCCTTTTTTGGCAAAGAAATCTACATCAAAACAGTGTCTCAACAGTGCCAAACAGTGTCTCTACAGTGCCAAACAGTGTCAAACAGTGCCTCAACAGTGTACTTTACACCGTTGTTGAAAGTCAATAATTGAAAGTCAAATTTTTTAGGCACAATAATAAATTGACTCAATAATAAATTGAAAGTCAAATTTTTTTTCCTTATTTTGTGTGAAGTCAAACTGTGAAGATTAAAAAAAACCGGAGGTAGTATGACATAGAATATTAAAAGCAAATTTGAGTTGATAATAATACCAAATTTAAACATCTCATTTTCCTAGGCCACAACAACAAGTAAATTGTCTTTTTCAAAGAGTTTGAATGCGATTGAATCAAATTATTAATGAAATTGGGGTGCACTAATTATTAATTGTGTTAAAATCATAATATCCCATGTGAAGTTATTGAAGAGATGGATTGGGTTCTAGTTGAGGCCAGGGTGGGACATAGGCTTCGAAACAACTCGTGTTTGATTTGATTCAAATCCAGATCAAAATGATCCTCGCTCCGTCGCTCGTTCCCATGAATATCGACATACTCCAGTCTCGCAGAATAAGACTTGTCTCAAACTAGTTCATAGAATCCTCTAGCCTCATGTGAGGAGACTTATTTGAGGAAAGAACATACTAGAAATAGCATATTTAGGCCTAATTTGAAGGAGTTTGACTCAAAAGTATCTCATTAATGGTAATGATTTTTTGTTGATGGTACCGACTCCTTGTTCGAAATCGTTTGTCCAATCAGCTTGACTTCTAGCTAAAAGCTAGATAGTATATATTCTTTTTTTGCTACAATTAACTCACCTGTGACTGACAAGGAATTACTTCAGACCACTCTTATGGGTTTGGGACCGGAGTATGAGTCAACTGTTGGAACTATTTCCCTCTTCCTTGAGAACTTTCCACCTCACATTCTTCATCTGAGGCTTTTAGAGAAGGAGCAGCGGGTTCTTTTCCTTCGTCAACAGGAGGCTGCTCCTATTTATCAGGCATTTGGAGCACAGACGGGAGTTGCCGCACCCCGTGGCCGCGGCAGAGGTCGTCCTTACCAGCTAGGGCAATCGCAGGGGCATCCCACTCACGGCCAGGGATACGGCCAGTAGCCCGGGCAGCCTACATCGACCAGACCTACTAAAGAGGTGTTATGGATAATTCTGTTTTGTACATTTTAAAAGTTAATGCTATATCATTCTATGGTACTAATGTTAAATTTGCCGACCCTCCATCATACATGAGAGAATTCTCGGGGCAATACCCCTACCAGTTGTGTGTCAAATATGTTTCTCTGCAGGTCATTCTGCCCTTCATTGTCCTTGTTTTCTCAACCGTCTGCACTTGCTATTCTCACTGGTCAAGCTAATGAAACCATGTGGTCCAGATTCTAGTGCCTCTGCTCACATGACTCCATCTCATGGTATTTTAACTAATAAGTTTACTTGTGTTGCCCAAGTATTGTAATTAGTGTTGCTAATAATGTTCATCTTCTCATTAAACATGTTGGTAATGTTTCTTTAAAATCCTCGAGCTTCCCGCTAATGTTAAAATTTGTTTATCATGTGCCTAATATTAAATTTAATTTCTATTTAAAAATTGTGTGCTGATAACAACTGTAGGTGTTGCTATTTTTGACAAGAATTTCTTTTTTTTTTGTTAAGGACGACAAAACTTCGGGGGCGGTTCTTCTTCGAGAAACAACTAATGGCAATCTCTACCCTCTTAGCCCGAGTCCACCTTCCAGCCTAGCTTTATCCTCGGTCATCACCACTGGCCCTGTGTGGCATCGTAGATTATGTCATTGTGGTGAAAATATTTTATGTATCTGATGCACTTAAAAACATATATGTACTAGTTCTATTTTTGCTCATGAATGCACTTCATGCCGATTAGGCAAGTCACAATGATTACCCTTTGTAGATGCTAATCATAAATCTTCTGCTCTTTTACATTTAAAACATTCTGATGTGTAGCAATCTCTTATTCTTTCCAACATAGGTTTTAAATACTATGTGTGTTTTATTTATGACTTTTCTTGCTTTACTTGGATATATCCTATGCGTGCTAAAACAGATGTTTTTGATCATTTTACAAATTTTAAGGTTTTAGTTGAAAATCTTTTTAACCCTAATACTATTTTTTTTTTCAAATTGATGCAGGGGGTGAATATGTTAATTTTAATATGCAACATTGTTTTAATATTTGTTTATATTTCTATTATATCTATTTATTTTTTATGTTTTTATATTTTATACATTGAATTTATCACAATGTTGAAACATTTTTGTGATTGGGACTTATTTGAACCATGCATGAGCAGATGCACCCTTTTATGAGTGAGGGCACTTGCCTCCAATAACATTTGGTTTTTTAGCTAATTTTTTTATGCATTTTGTCAATTAATCACTTGTGCCACCAACAAAAAATAAGATTGCCCCCTTTAAATACTCCATAACCATTTCAAATGCAAAAGCTGTAAAGGATATTCAATTCTCTAAACAGGATTCAAATATATATATATATATATATATATATATATATATACATATATACATATAGAGAGAGAGAGAGAGGACTTTTCATGTCCAGCCGGCATGACGGGAACCGCCGTCCGGACAAGGGCATTTCGGGCACTTCCCGGTGGCATTTTTTGATAAATTGTTTTGAGCATGCTCTTCATGAAGTCTAGTTTATCCATACCAAATTTCAGCTAAAAATTCAATCGAGAAGGCACTCAAATAATTTCTTGAAGTTAACTGGGCAGTTCATACATATAAACTGCCCAGTTAACTTCACAAAATTATTTAAATGCCTTCCCGATCGAATTTAGAGCTGAAATTTGGTATGGATAAACTAGACTTCATGAAGAACATGCTCAAACAATTTCATCAACAAATTCCATCGGGAAGTGTCCGAAAATCCCTCGTCCGGACGGCGGTTCCCGTCAGGCCGGCTGGACAAGAAGACTACTCTCTCTCTCTCTCTCTCTCTCTCTCTCTCTCTCTCTCTCTCTCTCTCTATATATATATATATATATAAACTCAAATAAAAGTATCATATTTGTTTCTTAAAATAAGACTTATGCATTCATATTTAGAAAAGTTTTTTTTATTCTTTTTAGAGTATTAAATAAGTGTTCTTTTATGAACAAAACATATTTAATCCTATTTTAAAATTTTATTTAAATTTAGTCTTATTTTGAGCATTTTTTTTAAATGAATGTTATAACTTGCACCTCTTAAAATTAATGTATATATGTTGTCATTTCAATCTTTTATAATTTTAATGAGTCCGTTTGGTGACCTTGTTTTCCAGTTTATCAGCCACTTTTTTTGTACCAAACACATTAATTTCGACTTCACGCGCTAACTTTTGTTATAATCAAAATAAATAAGGCATAACTTACTTTATTGGCTGAATTGGCTGAGGTTATTGCAGATGAGCATTTTACTTATTTTTTATACTACATACTATCTATGATTTTTGCGTTATTTTATTAATACGATATATTTTAAAACAATTTCTTCATAATTCTGCAAAATCAACCAATGCAATCATTTCAGCCAAAACTTTACAAACTTTAGTGAGATCTATCGATTTAGTCAATTTAGGAAAAATTCACAAGAATAATCCTAACTATTTACAGTCTTCCAATATTAATCCCAAATATGAATAATTCTAAAATAATCTATCATTCGGTGGATATCTTCTCAAAATAAACCCATAACCTGAACAAAAATATTCAAACAGTCATCTGATGACATGTCTTAATTTAATTCGGCCTCACTTGTTTTTATTTTATTTTTCATTTTTCCTCTCTCTTTATTTTTCTTTTCTTTCGCATACCCCTTCTTTCTTCCTTCCCTTTTCACTCGATCTCCTCTGCTCTTTGTCCCCTTCTTCCTAAATTCTTCCATGGATTCATGTTCCCGTCTCCTCTTTTTCCTTCGAATTTTTGTACAAGTTCTCATCCGGCCGCCAGCCTCCTCTTTTTGGATTTTTTTTTCGAAAATTCTAAATGAATCTTCTGGAGAAATTTAATATGACCAACTTCACGTTTCTGCTTCCCGAATATGCAGTCCTCGCATAAGCCAATCTCAACAGTCTTCAGGCCGGGCAGATTGCCCTTCGAGCACAGCTCCTTCATCCCCTTTTCGCTCATGTGACCGAGCCGACAGTGCTATAAATTCACATCGTTTGTTGCAACGGCAGCAACATCGATGCAGTCCTTTGAGTTCGTTGTCATGTACAACGTACCCTCCTTCTTCCCTTTAGCAACCAACAAGGCTCCCTTGGTGATCCTCCAATTTTTGCTGCCGAATGTAACTGCATAACCTTCCTCATCTAGCTGCCCAATTGAAAGAAGATTCCTCCTCAAACCAGGAATGTGTCGGACGCCATTCAATTTCAGCATGCATCTGTTCGGAGTCTTCACGTGGACTGTCCCCTTCCCGACAATTATAAGCGGCTCATCATCAGCAAGATACACCTCTCCAAAATTGCCAGGAGTATACTGTTCCATCACTTCAGAATTACCACATGAATGGAACGAGGCTCCAGAATCCAGAACCCATGACTCCAACGGACTGCTCACGCTCAGGGTCAGGAGATCATCACCTGATGATTCTGCCGCTGCATTGGCAGATGTTTTCTCCTTCTGATCCTTGATCTGCTCCTTGCACTGGCTCTTAAAGTGTCCGTACTCCTCACAATTCCAGCACTTGATCTGACTTCTGTCCTTCTTGCCCTTGCTGTTTGACTTGGATTTGGATCTTGATCTATCCCGATTTGACTTGGACTTGGACTTCGTTCTGCCCCGGTTCTCTGTACTCAACGCCGATCCA